ATATATATATATATATATATATATATATAAATGTTGATATATATACACTAGCCTATATATAGACATACTCAATGTGTATTTGGAATATTGCCACTACAAGTAATTGTCATTTTGTTTCTTTTTTATATTTGCATCTGTTGCTCCTAGTTTTTAATGTCCTCTTATACAAAAGTAGGAACACATTGATAGGAAAAGAATTTGTAAAGATCTTTTTGTTTTAATTTGTATAACACTTGCTATTTTATTTTTTTTTTAAATAGTAATGTGGGTTCTTTTTTTTTATTTAGTTGCAAACCGTCTGAATTTAGGGTTTATCACTGAATTTAAGGTTTATCACTTGGCAAAATAGTATTGTGGTGGCTTTTTTTTTTTTTTTTTGAATTTATACTCTGTATCCTCTGAACACATCTTTGGCTTATATCTTAAAGAGGAGATTGGGAAATCTTTCCCTGAGTGTATTCTTGCACTCTGACATATCTAAGGCACCACAGTTAATGGTGTGGGGGATGTTGGGCTAAGCTTATGCTATTTTTTTTAAGGGGGTGTTAGCTGAACAAAGGGAGGAAACACATTTTATTAATCTCACCATAAGGAAAATTACTAGAATTATTTTTTTTGACATGAGGTGGCTATTTTGAAATGAACCTCTTTATGGACTGACTAAATCACAGATCTAGTAGTAATACATATTACGGACTGACTAACTCACTGATCTAATAATAATAAATATTATGGACTGACTAACTCACAGATCTAATAATGATAAATATTATGGACTGACTAACTCACAGATCTAATAGTAATAAATATTATGGACTGACTGACTCATAGATCTAATAGTAATAAAAATCATATACTGACCATGTAACTATGTACTTTTTAGAAGGAACCTCTTTAAAAGATACATCAAGAATGATTCACATTGATCTAACTGTAATAAATATTATGGACTGACTGCCTGGTCATGTGGTATACACTCTAGATTGTTACCTTAATGGTTCTGTTTCACACCCTGCCCTCACCATCTGCGTTTTCATGCAGAGGTTTTTTTCTAAGATGTAATGATCAATTCTGAAGGAACATCTGAATCATCAGATAAATATATGTAAAAGTAATTATTATTTTATAAATCTAAAAATAATTAATATTATTGACTAACTGATTTGCGTAGCTCAATTAGTAATGAAAAATTCAAACTGTCTGACTGACTAACGTAGTACAAGTAGTAATTAAAATTATCAAAGACTTTGGCCCAGGTTTGTTTCTCTTCTTCAACATCAACTCATGTTTTATGTATAGTTTTTGATATTCTCTGACACATCATTGTGATTCCATGATTGATTTGAAACATTGTGAGAATTTTTGATGAACAAGAACATTACAACTGACCTCAGGTCTGAATGCTTAAGCCATTCACGGTGGGACTCGGCTGGATGAGTTAAATCATTCAATCAAGTCTTGATTTGATTTGTTGAGTTTTTTTTTGTTTTTTTTTGGTTCTTTGTTGCTGTTTAATACATTTACAAATACATACCTGTGAAATAGTATGTACATGTCTTTTGGATTTCATATGTCACTGTTTTTAACCTTGAGTGATAAATCAATGGGGGACAACTACATGAACTTGTGATTCTGTGGAGAGAACGTTGAAATATCGTCGACGCATATTATAAAACACAAATCATCTCTGTGATCATTTCCTAAAAAAAATGCATTTTGTTTTAAGAAGCAAATTGTTTTAAAACAATCTTTTTGTTGAAAAATTTAATTTACATAAATTTGTATTCAGCCCTCTCCCCTAAATAAACCAATCACTATACATTTTTTTTCAAAGTGGAAGATTTGATTGGGTAGAAAGATATCCAGGGGAGAGTACTGCTGTTATTGTAATGCTTTTTTAAGGCTTTTAATTTTCATTCTCATTGTGAAGTTAAATCTTGTTAGTTTTTTTTTCATAGTTTTGTATGTGTTTTAGTTGAATGCATTTGATTGCAACTGACAAATATGTTGATAAATTAACTTTTTGTTTTAATTAGTGCACTAATCTACTTCCAGGCAATTTACTTGTAAACATTTATTTTAGAAGAATTTAAATTAACCATTTCTACATCTCTGTGAATAAAATTATTTCAGGGGATTTCTATTTGGCCTAGTTATACAACATTTATCTTACAAGATTCTAGCCAAACAAAACATTATTCAAGTTTATATATGGTTCCTCCTTTGTAGTCGAAGATGAGCACTTGTCTGATTTCCTGTGAACTAATCGCTTTAAAAAACTGGCCACGTACTGGACAAGGGTAGGCTAAGAGATGAGAATGTGGCTTGCACGATGAAAACTGTTTTAAAGTGAGGGAATATATGCACTGTAACAGCCTCTCTCTCTTGCCAGCTATTTACTTCCAGTGGGAACAAGGTTCAGAAAACTGGAGCTGCAAGTATATGATATATACAATATATACACACAAAAGTACTTAGTAAAGTAGGCCTGCATTCTCCGAAGTGTGATATGTATGTTGATAACTTGGCTAGTCTTAATTTTATATATTTTACATACTGTTACACTACGTATATTTAAGAAAAGGAACTGTGCATGCGTTACAAACATCTGTTGGTTTTGAGAATATATATTTTTTAATTTAAATCTAGTAAGCATGTCTTAACTTTATGGTGATCAGTTTAGTAAGGGCAAACCTATGTCTCAGGAACTACCAACTTTATTTTTATAACTCCTTTTATATCTCAAGCTATGATGTGACCCAGTCTGAAACAGTGCTTCTCAAAATGAGCTGCAGGACAGCCCTAGCCAGAAGCTCAGCTTAATGCATTGAAGTCCTATAGAGGGGCTCTTAAAATAACCACTATACAAAGTAACATATTTAAATGTAGGAAGATGGAACCATTTCAATAACCTGATAAGAAATGTGAATGCTTTGTGCAGTATCCAAGTGTGGCTTGATATATTGTGATACTCAAATGCAAATCTTATCATAGCTCTGTAGAAAGACAATGGAATGTTTCCAGTATATACAGTGATAGACATCTGCAGAAATGTTCCACTCAGTTATGTCTGAGATAGGTTTCACTAAGAAACACATTAAACACAGTTAATCAAAAATATTACAAACAAACAAACACCAAAAAAAAATCACAAATCATATTTTTATATTTCTTTTGGCTCTTTTATTTGGTTTTGTTTTTCTCTGTTTTTTTTTTTTTTGTTGTTTTTTTATTATTTTAAATTTTGCACTTGGAAAGTTCATTGTGTGAAAGTAAATATGTGTGATGATCAGAGAGCTAGGAAGACTGTGTTACTAACCTTAATGTGAGCCATAATATCGAGTGATATCTAGCCTGATAGTATTAAACAAACAAAATGATGAACAAAAATAAAAGGGAATCTACAACTGCGGAGACCCTAAAGATTGGGGGGGGGGGGGGGGGGGTATGCATGGCAAGCTTCCTCACAGCACTATATTTAACATTTCTTTTTTTTTTTTTTTAAAGTAAAACTCTTTTTTTTTTTCCCATCTTCCTAGTGGACTGTAACATGAGCTTACCTAATGTTTAGACTTAGACTGTACCATGTGATGTTAGATATGTTAAGAAATAATATTGTGATTCTCTTCTGTAGTGATAAACTTTGAAGATTGTGTTTTGCTTTGTTTTTTACTCTTGATTCTATACCGGTACTTGGAGAAACCACTGTACCGGTTATTGTCTTGGTATTTTTCTGAATGCGAACTTTGATTAGTGTTTTTTATATAAATACTTTTATCTTTATATTGACTCAAAAATGTAGGACTCTTCTACATATATTTAATTTTATTAATAATATACGGTATTAAATATCAGGTAAACTAAAACTTTGCCCATATAAGCATAACCACTGGTCTTATAGCTGTTTATTCTCTCACAATGGGTCATAGAGAAATACTTATTTGTTGTTATTTTTGCATTTTAAATATTTTTTAAAGTTTATAATGCTTGACATAATGTTTGCTGAAACGGCAAGGGATGGCTGCCTGGTCATATGGTATGTTATTGGGACCATCACCTTGATGGTCCCAGGTTCGAACTCTGCCCACTGCCATTCACCCACAGTCCCGCGTGAGGTTTGGTCTACCAGGCTAGGATGTAATAATCTTCAATTCTGAAGGAACATCTGAAACTTGTCAAAGAAACAAACATAAAAACCTGTTGGGTTTCTTGAATCAAGAAAAATAGTTCAAAGCAAAAAAAGGTTCCAGGAGGCTCCTTTGCTCAGGGAGTTGTCAGACGTCACACTTGTTTAGTGTCATGTTCTTATATTAACAACTTTCTGTGTATCCGATTGGTCTGGAGATCTATGGGTAACCATGGCTCATAACTCATAATGAATTATTTCAATGAACATTTTTTTTTTCCTCATGTACATTTCTTTTCAAATGTGTTTTGTGTGTACAGATTACTGGTTTGTATATTATTAAGTATATCTAAATAATGTATAGTTCTTATATATATGGAAACTGATCCTCTGTATTGTATGGTTTGGTTTTTATGAGTGTCAGTGCATTGTAGTTTTGTTTAGTAGATGTACATCAGAAGTAAGTCTTTAGATTTTAGTTTTCAGCCTGTTGTGTGCTTGGTATGATTGATATCCTCTTGACTGACTTATTGTATGTTGACTTGAATTCACGTTGAAAATATTCTTGTCAAGCTTCGGCTCTGTTGTATAAAGGAAATGTGTTGTTGTTTTTTTCTTCAAAGGATGGTGAACAATTACAAAAGTTTCTTCCTGTCTGCTCCACTTCACTTTTTCTACACATTCTGAAAAGTCAGCTAGACTTTGAACATAATACCCAGTTGAAGTCTGACTTGATGCTTATCTTTTCACGTATTTACATTGTTGACCAGCTCAAATTAGGAATAAATGAAGGTCATGACATGTGCGTCTGAATGGTACTAGCCTGTGTTCTGTCATTGTTCATAATTCATCATGTGATCTTAATTCTTTTAGTCCAAGCCCATGTTTCACTGGGAGTTTGTATTCTTCTAACTTTTGTTTGTGTATGGTATTAAAAAATACTGTGCACATTCTGTGCTGACATTGAAGTGTGTGTGCACTATTAAGATGTGTATATGTGTATTATAATGAATGCACATGGGGCAGATATTAGGTATATATGTTGATTTCAATTATCTTTAGTTCAGAAACTTTCCTCCACCCCTAACACACACACACTCCTCCCCTTTAAACAAAAATCAACTTTAAACCTGGTCAAATTATTGTATTTATATTGTCTCTAAAAAGTAAAATGTTAATGTCTGTCTGAATTTGTTTGAATGTCATGGCTGTTGGCTGATCTGAAATATGTGTTCAATGATTTTATTACCTTTACTGATAAAAGAGGTCACATTCAAATAGATGCTGTAAATGACCTATATTAACTACACATCCCTCATTGTGCCATAATTTGGTCATTTGCCAGTTAATCATTTTACTTTAAGCCAAACGCCTTTGTTGTATCAACATTCTAGTATGAGTATCACTTGTTGTATGTTGTCCAATGGATTTTCCTCAAGAACCAAAACTACATTTGCTAAATAAACTTTGGTTCTGTTTTGTTTTTTTTTTGTTCTCAATGATTTGTATTTTTGTTGTCACCAGTTTATTTATTTTCATGCATTGTAGAACCTTCTCCATAGTCAACACAACAATTGTTTTATTCACTTGTTTGAATAACTTTTCTACCAATAGACATGTCAGGATTTGACATGTGTTGAAATAGCATGGGGGATGTGAACAAAGTCCATGCGTTCTTGAAAGTCATTGAAGCTATGTGTGTCCATAAAATCAACTTGCTGTTGGATCGTTTCTAGAGTTTTGATATTAACTCTTGACATCTTGTATGTATGTCTTGACGTAACTCTATAATATTTTGTACGTAAGCATGTAGCATAGCAAGTAGGCAGTGTTGTGATTTTGTTTACGTACGTTAAGGCCATAAGATTTTTTTTTTTTATTATTTACCCTGGCCATCATATTATTTTGCAACTGTAAAGGCCATATAATCTTATTTCCTACAGCAACCAAACAAAATGCCAGAACAGATTCATTTGTAATCTTGTTTTTTTTTTTCTAAGTGTGAATTTGTGTTTATATATTACAATTCCATTGTTTGGTTTCTCTGATTTTCAGCGCTATGTTCTCTAGAGCTTACAGTGATGGGTGTATAGATATGTCATATGACAATGTTCATGGGGTCAATAGGAACTGTCTGTTGTAACATAATCTTCATGTTTCTATTGGCCATGTCTTTATGATGTTAGTCTGTCTTTAGGAGGGTCCTGACTACTTAGTTGTTTTTTTTTTTTTTTTTTTGTTTTGTTTAGTGACAGAAAGATTTCAATTTTTTAAAAATATTTTGCTATATTAATTTTTAAAAATTTGTTGTTACCATAATTTAATTTTAATATAACAATTTTTTATATCATACAAAAAGATTTAACAGTTTTATAACCACTACTGGTAATAATGCATAATTAAAGAATACTAGTTTGTTTTTTTGTAGCAGCCATAATACAAATCTGTCAAATTATTTTTTTTAGTATTAAAAAAATACAATTTTTAAACAAGTATAAAAAATTCTTTAATTTAAATTTTAAGAAATATTTGAAGTTCAAGTATAGACACATTTTTTATACAATTATTTTTTTAAAGACCATCTTTGGATTTTAAGTATCATCACTGCATTATGTTTTAATTAAAGATTTATTTTAGTTATTGCCTTGTCAGCTTGCTTATGGCAGTGTTAGCCTCTGGTATTTTTAGGTGTGCATTCCATGGTACATATCGGAAAATATTATAAAAACTCAGAACATAATTATTTTTTTTTTTGTTAACTGAGGTTTTTCATACAGCCCCCACTCCTCACCCCCTCTCTCCTTGTTGCACTGCTTCTTCTTTGTATGTCAGTCCCAATTATTTGCCATTGTTTTGTGGATTAAAAGCTCTCAAATAGTTCAAAGCTCTTCAAAAGTTTTATTGTCTTGGATGAATGAATGAAGAATTATTATGTAACCAGATATGAACTTGGAGAGAAAGAGTGAAGATTGTGTGACTTGAGGTGGCTACCTGGTCATGAGGTCTGTGCTTTGGACTGTTATCTCAATGATCCCGGGCGTAAATCTTGCCAACCACCATCCCCCTGCCACCCAACAGGAGGTTAGTGCTGGGATGTAATAATCTTCGATTTTGAAGCAACATGAAAAGCAAGATGTCATGATGAGTGACTTCTACATTCCTCACTTGAATGTGGATGCAGGTTTGAAAAACTAAGGCACTTGATAAAATGATAACTTGGAATAACATCAATATAAACACAATGTTTGGTATATAAACTAGCAAAGGAGCTGCTCAGATACAAAGAATCAATGTGCTAGTGATAGAAAGAGCTGCACTGCTTCTCCTCAACCCTTGTAAATATTTTATATAACTTGAAAAAAAAAAGGCCTAGAAAACTTTACAATATTCTTTCATTATCTTAACACAGATATTTTTAAGTTTTAGAAACTTTGATTCACATCTAGACTAACCCTACTTCTGCCGTTGGCCTCTTAACATTAAGGTGTCTATGTGAAAATGATCATTATCTACGCAGAAGCATCCTTATATTTGGGCCATTGACAATGTTTTCAGTTGTGCTATATTTAACTGAATTGTTTTACAATAATCTCTTTAAACAACACAATTCATGTTTTTAATTTTTTTTTAATTTACAAGTACACAAAATAGTAACTCAATACTAGATATTCATTTGGAATTAGTATTAATTTATTTAACAAACAGAACAAATACAAAAATAATTTTAGATAACCTGTATCATAAACATTGGGTTGTGTTATACTGTTTGTGTATCTATCTCAAGTTGAGATGAAAGATTCAGCAAATTCTCTTTTCTCAAAAGCATATGAAACAGCTTCAAATGAATAAAAAAAAACAGGCTTACATGACAAATCCATAGGTTGAAACTTACAAAACTTTAATTAAATAAAAGCAACAAGAATAATTTTAACTTTGAATCACAACATTGAATTCATAGTAAATAGATTCATAAAGACAAACTAGTAATGTTAAAACCAAATCTTTAGACACGCTAATCTGGCATTACTTCATATACTATTTTATGACTTATTACATGTTCAATATTTCTAGACACAAGCTGTGATGTCACAAATTTTTGAATCTACACCCAGCAGTACTCAAAGATTAGCGAGTGAATGATACAATTTCAACTGAGTTTTTTTTTGCCTTAACTAAGGCTCAGCCCCTTGGTTCTCCAAACAAAGCTTGTGACATAAATATCTATATAAATATAAACTGTATAACAAATACATATATAGATGTAAATAGAAGTAGAAAACCAAACAGCAGAGTTAACTTTTGCTAATCATCCAAATGCATATTTTTAATAAATAGGTTTTTTTTTTATGTACAAAGCTGAATATTTGAGTAGGAACATTTTTTTTGGGACATTGCCGAAAATGAAATTACATGTAAGTCATGATTGCATTCAAATAACCCAATGTATTATGGATCATATTCCTAAGGAGAAATAGTGTATAGCTAATATTCATTGTGGAGGGACAGTGGCTGAGAGGTAAAGCGCTTGGCATCCGAACCGGGGACCGGGGTTCGAATCCTGGTGAAGACTGGGATTTTTAATTTCGGGATCTTCAGGCGCCTCTGAGTCTACCCAGCTCTAATGGGTACCTGACATTAGTTAGGGAAAAGTAAAGGCGGTTGGTCGTTGTGCTGGCCACATGACACCCTTGTTAACCGTAGGCCACAAAAACAGATCACTTTACATCATCTGCCCTATAGATCCCAAGGTCTGAAAGGGGAACTTTTTTTTTATATTCATTGTAAATAACCATAACAATTCATTTCAAAATACATGCTGTCCAACATGAGGCACTTTGCGCATTATATGATTCTTGGAACAAAAAGTATGTAATGACTTATTGAACTTATATTAACTATAAATAAATTAGGCATGACTGTATAGGTGGAAACATTCGCCACTGCAGAAGAATGGGCATGTATAGTCTCGGCAGAGTCTTCCCAATTCAAGAAAAAGGAAACCAGTTCCACTAATTCATCTGGGCTCATCTATTGTCTTCAAAGATGGAGAATGTCAGAGAACCCAAAATAGTATACTGGCAAAAAAAACAAAAGGCATGTGACCCAAAGGCAGACATAGGCATGGAGACGAAAGAGATCGGAATGGAAAGATGTGTTGAAGAAGGTCAGAGGTCACCATGGGCTGGGAGGGATGTATGTAATTTGAATGTAAGCAAGTTTAGAAATGTAACACTTATGAGACTAATAGAGCTCTGTAAGTACCTATTAAAGTTTTTTTTTATGACCACACTTTCCATGTCATTTCAACCTCTTTCTGCTGCCTAAAGTTAATGAGAGTGTCAAGCTGCCACCACAAATACCACAGTACAAGAAAAATCTTGGCCCTTCACAATACAATATGAACATCTGGAGACACTGCTCCTTAAATGTGCCTTTTAAAAAACTGTAACTGTTCAAGTTAATGTTGATGACAGGTGAAAAGTAGGAATAACAACTCTATCTAGTATTTACATACATAAAGTAGTTAGTCCATCAGGGTATTAATCATAGTACTATCAAATCACTCTAGAGACAAAAGGCATAAGACATTGGATGAAAGCAAAGAGAAGAGTTAGCACCAAATCATTTATTATACGCAAAAACAAGTTCTAAAACAAGTTCGAAAATGGTTGAATAAACTGCCTCACTAGTAAATCTTCCGCTTTCAGATAAATGTATAAATGGACCAATAAAATTTTGTTGTAAACACAAGCATAAAGATAAGAATAGTTTTTAAACAGCAAATGAAATAAAGTTCAATTAAGTACATAACAAAAACCAAAAGGAATTTTATAACCTTCTTGTAAGTTTAGTTATATTGTATAAAAAAATATCTAGAGTAGCTTCCTTTCCATAAAATCAATGAAAATGGATTTATTTCCCTTGGGTTACTTTACATATCCATTAAGGTTGTATTTGAAAGAATTGCAGTGAGATTCAAAACCTTTGTTTACACAGGCCACAATGAACAACAGAGTTGTCATTCTATTATTGCTCAACTCAGAAATAGGTCAAACCAGGTCAGCTACAATGACTTATGTAATCCACTTCATCCTTGACCACAGCGTTGGGCGGGAGAATGTTCTGTAGAGGCAAACTTGAAAAATGGTTACGCAGGTGATCCAGCCCTCGTCTCGATGCTTCATGTAGCTTCTTCTCTGCCTGCAGCTCCATTGTCAGGTCTTGCATCACTTCCTTTAAGTCGGCAATCTCCATCTCATATTTAGCAGACATGTTTTTCTCCACCAAAGCCTTCTCACGGGCTAAATTTTGATCTGACTCCAGAAGTTTTAATTCTAGATTCTGACGAAGGATTCGTTCTTTGTCTAAGTCAATATGGGCAGATTTAGATTCTTCAAATGCCTTCACCTAAAATAAAAAAACAATAAAACATTTAAGAAACATGTATAAGTTAGAAAAAGTTTGTTTGTTTGTTGTTTGTAAAATGTTTTACATGTTTCGGATGTTCCTTCAGAGTTGAAGATAATTTACTTCCTAGTCCAAACCTCCCGCAGGACTACGGGGGATGGGAGTGGGCAGGGTTTGAACCCGGGACCATTGATAAATCTGAATGAGAGTCCAACGCGCACACCGCACAATCAGGAAGCCATCTTGAAACGTTGAACTGTTCAACTGACAAATCTAAGCCTGGGTTGAACAATACTTGGAGCTATTATATTTTTTAAAAGCTCATAAACGGCAGAAACGTTTGGGTCTTTTGAGTAATATTGGGGCTTTTGTAGCTATTTGTAATTAGAAAAAGTTGTTTTTTTCCCAATGTTTGTAACTGTAACTATATATTATAATTTAATGAGATTTTAAATTAACAAGAGAGTCATGTGGCCAGCACAACAACCAACCCCCTTTCATGACAGGTGGACATTAGAGTTGGGGGGGGGGGGGACTTTGGGGCACCCAAAAAAATCATGAAACTTTAGTTCCTCAGTTCAGAACCTGCTTGAACACTCAGCAACCTATGATGCAAAACAGGACTGCAGAATTACCTTAATGCTAGATGATGGTGGTAAAATTCCCATTTCAGATATTGTGGTCTATAGGGCAGATGATAAAAAAGGTCATCTGTTTCTGTGGCCTATGGTTAACAAGGGTGTCATGTGGCCAGCACAACCACCAACCGCCTATACTTTTCCCCAACTAATGTCAGGTACACATTAGAGCTGCGAGGACTCTGAGGTGCCCAAAGATCCCAAAATTAAAAATCCCAGGATTGGAACCCAGAACCCCGGTTCAGAAGCCAAGCGCTTTAATGCTCAGACACTGTGCCTCCATGATGATAAATATTAATTAATACAATATGAAAAGTCTACAGTATCAAATGGATACTACAAATGGTTCAAAGTATCAATTGAAACTCAGAGCTAACCTTCTCAGCTTCTACCTCCTGCCACATATCTGTCAGAGCCGACACCTTGACTTCAAGGACAGCAAGGTCTTTCTGAAGGCTGTTTCTGTGTATCACCAGTCGTTGATTCGACTTGGTGGCCTCGGCTAGCTTGGCCCTTAAGACTTCAATCTCGTGTTCCTGCCTCAGTGCTTTCTTTTCAAGTTTGCTGCTGTATTGCTTTTCTTCTCGCAGGGCCACTTCCAACTTTGTGATCTCCGCTGCCAACAAAGAAACATAAAAATTTAAATTATCAACTCAATTAAACAGCTTAATAATAAACGAAAGAAATAATTAACAGATGAGCCTTTTGGGACAGTTTTTTTTATTATTCTAATTCTAAAAGAAACAAAACTTTAAAAATGTTTTTTTTTTAAACATAGTTTATCTAGGGAAAGAACCACAGAATCACTGATTAACTTATAGCTTAATTTTTTTTATCATTGATTTATGTATTGCCGTGGAATAATTATGAAAAATTTCAATTTGATCCAAGAATGAAAAGTGGAAGAAAAATGTGTACATAATGTAAAAATGGGGAATAACTCCACATATACAGTCACATCTCTAAATAATTACTATTTTTATTTCCTTTTTTTTTTATACCAAACAAAATAGTAAATTACCAATGATTAATTAATAATTTGTTACAAATGCTTGTGTTAAGTTTCAACTAGATCCAAGAATTTGCATAGGAGAAATAACGTGTACAAAAATTGTGCCAGACAGACAGAGTTGATATAAGTTGTTTTTTTTTTTAAAAAAGGACAGTATTATCTCAAGCAAAATGAAACTAAGTAAACTTAGTGACACTGATATGTGCCTTGAATCCATGTTGAAACTCATTTAAACACTCATGTCTAGCTAAATGCTGAAACATTCAGGCATATGTCATATCTAATGGCTCAATCAAAAGTTAAATAAGATTTTTGAAAGTCTTGAAAGTGGTTCACAAGGAATGCATAAACAAAATGTCTTGATCCATCTCAATTGTTTTTTGTCTTAGAGTTTCCAACTCTTTCAGGAATGATTACTATGTCCTGGCCCAGGCCTCCTGCTGGATGACAAAGGATTGCAGTGGACAAGGACCATCTTAACATCTTAACAATATTACAAAGGACATACTACATCAGTGGTTCTCAAACTGTGGTCCGTGAACCCTGAGACAAACATTAAGGGGTCCGAGGAAAGATAAAAATTGTATAGAAATAAAATAATTTCTTCACTAAAAGCTAGTTTATCCGATCGGATAATTTGAAAAAAAATCAAATCACCCCTCAGTACTGTTTAATATGTCTATTACGAACTATTCTTTGAGACATAAACCAAAGATTTGAAGACATTCTTCACTTGGATATTTCCGACTGGTTATTGAGCCCTATCCAAATCACAGATGAATCCATTCTAATGCAGGAGCAACTTATTAATATCCACAAACGAAGAACTTAGATGTTTAAACAAGGATTACACAAATTCTGGTTTCAATGACAGATTCCAATTATATATCCTGTCATTGTACCGTTGTTGACTGCTTTTCCATCTTCTTATTTAGTAGAATGTGGATTCAGTGCCATAATGAGCCTCGACAAATAAGAGAAACCAACGTTCTTTTAAATATAAGTTACAATTTCAATAAACCTCCAACAAATTTTTTCTTTACATTTGTAATTTATTTACTATGCATTTATTTAGCTTTTTCACTTAGTGGGCTAATTTGGACAACATA